TGAACCAGCCTTACGTACTGGGATAAATTTCATTTGGTAGTAATATCTAGCTCTTTGTATATATTGTTGGATTCTGTTTGCTGGTATTTTGTTGGGGATGTTGCATCTATGTTCATGAGAAGTTTTTTTTTTCTTGTAATGTCCTTGGATTGTTTTGGTATTAGGGTAATGGTCAACTCATAAAATATGTTAGGATATGTGAGTATTCTAACTTCTGGGAGAGATGATAGCAGGTTGGTATAATTTCTTCCTTAAGTGTTTGTTAGAATTCATAATTTGGGCCTAGTGTTTTCTGTTTGGGGGAGTTATTAATATTGAATGCATTTTTTTTTTTTTACTAGGGACAGGCTTATTTGTATTGTCCATTTCCTGTTGTGTGAATTTTGACTGGTTGTGTTTTTCAAGGAATCAGTCCATTTCATGTATGCTATAAAATGTGTGGACATAAATTGTTAATAGTCTTTTTATCATTTTAATATTCATGGCATCTGTAGTAAAAACCCTTTCACTTTTGATACTAACAATTTGTGTCCCCCCACCCCGCACGCTCTCTGCTAGAGGCTTACTGATTTTATTGATATTTTCAAGGAACCAGCTTCTTATCACTTTTCCCTCATTGAATTTAATTTGCTCTTCTTTTTTCTCATTTCCCAAAATGCAAGCTTAGATGATTGATTTTTAGATTATTTTCTTTCTACCATATGCATTCAATGCTATAATATTTCCCTGAAGCACTGCTTTGGCTATGTCTCACTAATTGTGCTATTTGGGGGGGGGGGGAATTTTAGTTTCAATCAATTGAAAATACTTTAAAATTTCTCTTGGTATTTCTTCTTTGATCCATGTATTATTTAGCAGTGTGGCATTTGATCACTAAGTAGTTTGGTTTTTCCAGTTATCTTTTTTTAAAAAAATTTAACTCTTTTTTAAAGATTTATTTCTTTATTTGAAAGGGAGAGTTACAGAGAGGTAGAGGCAGAGAGAGAGATCTTCTATCTGCTGGTTCACTCCCCAAATGGCTGCAACGGCTGGAGTTGGGCCAATTCGAAGCCAGGAGCCTGGAGCTTCCCCCAGGTCTCCCACGTGGGTACAGGGGCCCAAGGACTTGGGCCATGACCTACTGCTCTCCTAGGCTACAGTAGAGAGCTAGATTGGAAGTGGAGCAGCCCGGACACAAACCAGTGCCCATATGGGAAGCAGGCGCTGCAGGCTGCAGCTTTATCCACTACGCCACGGCGCCACCCACCACCCCAGTTATCTTTCTGTTGTTGATCTCTGATTAAGTCCATTGTGGTCTGAAAGCAGACATTGTTTGATATCTGTTGTTTTAAGGTGTGGTCTGCCTTGGTGACTGTGTCTGTAGCTTTGATAAGAATGTGTATTCTGGCCACTGCCATGGCTCAATAGGCTAATCCTCCACCTAGTGGCGCCGGCACACTGGGTTCTAGTCCCAGTCGGGGCCCTAGATTCTGTCTCGGTTGCCCCTCTTCCAGGCCAGCTCTCTGCTGTGGCCCGGGAGTGCAGTGGAGGATGGCCCAGGTGCTTGGGCCCTGCACCTCATGGGAGACCAGGAGAAGCACCTGGTTCCTGCCTTTGAATGAGCACGGTGCACCGGCCGCAGCGTGCCAGCCGTGGCGGCCATTGGAGGGTGAACCAACGGCAAAAGGAAGACCTTTCTCTCTGTCTCTCTCTCTCACTGTCCACTCTGCCTGTAAAAAAAAAAAAAAAAAGAATGTGTATTCTGCTGTGAATGATGTCATCTGCATCCAGTTGACTGATGCTCTGTTGGCTTCAGCTATTTCTGCCTGCTGGATCTGTTCAGTTCTGGTGCAGGGATGGTAAGGTCTGTACCAGTAAGAGTCATTTCTTCTTAAAGTTCGCGTATTTTTTATTTCATGTATTTTGATGCTCTGATAAGTGAATATACATAAAGGTTTGTGTTCTCTTGGAGAACGATAAAGTAGTACATAATTATACATATATAATATATAAAATGCTGGATATGTTTATGTGCACACATAATCATTCATAATGCAGTAGATTGTTGATAGTATTTTGAGCATGCGATTTATTATTAGATCAGGTCAGAAAAAGAAGCCTTTATATTATCTTCACTTATTCCTTCTCCAGTGGTCTTCCTTTCTACACGCAGATCCAAAGAGTCTGACCTATATCATCCACCTACTCTTCTATTGTTTGTTGCTAGGCAGGCCTATCTGCTGCCCACAAATCTCCCAGTTTTGTTGTCTGAAGTTTTTATTCCTCCTTCACATTTGGAGGATAATTTTGCAAGGTATAGAATCCCACACTAGTGAGTTTTTTTCTCTGAACACTTTAAATAGTTCAGTTCATTCTCTTGTTTGCATGGCCTCTGAGGGAACATCAGGCATAATTCTTTTCTTTGCTTCTCTGCAGGTATGATGATTTTTCCTCTGGGTTCTTTCAGGATTTTTCCCCCTCTGTCTTTGAGTTTCCGTTGGTTTGAAAAGGATGTGCTCATGTGGGTTGCCAGGGGGATTTATCCTGGTTAGTGCTCTCTGAGCTTCTCAGAGCATGGTTGGATGTTGGGGAAATCTCAACCACTGTTTCAAGTATGTCCTGTGTTCCCGTGTTTCTTTTTCTTCTGGTATTCCCGTTATGCACCTTACACCATTTGTGGCCATCCACAGTCCTGGGGTATTGCGTTCATTGGCTTTGTTCTCTTTGTCTTTGCATGTTCAGAGTTGTTTCAAGATATCCTTGAGCTGGAGATTCTTTCCGCCACCATGTCTGCTCTGCAGATCAGCCCATCAAAGGCATTCTTCATTTCTTTCACAGTGTTTTCTTTCTCTAGCATTTTCCCCTGGATTCTTCATTAGACTTTCCATGTTTCTTACATTGGCCCTTGGTTTTACATGCTCTGAACTTTATCCATTAGCACCTTGAGCATATCAGTCATAGCTGTTTTAAGTTTCCAATGCTTGTTCTGTCTGTTCAAACTGTGATTGTGTGTGTGTGTGTGTGTGTGTGTGGCAGGGTGTTGTTTGTTTAGTACACCTTGCAAATGTTTCTTGATAACGGGACACGATGTACTGGGTCTCAGGAACTGTGGTCATTACTCATGATAGTCAGATTCGGGGGAGGAGAGGCATTCAGTTTTCTGGTGAGTGGATCCCTGTCTGCTACGGAACTTGTGCCTTCGGACTGTGAATTTGACAAGTGCTTCTCAGTCTCTCCTTGGTCCTAGGTGGGACCGGGTGGCTTCAGGGAGCAGGAGTTGGGTGTTTCCCTGCCCTGGTTTGGTTGGGATCTGATAAAAACCCCGCTTAGTTTATGCTTTAGTAAAATAGTTTCTCTGAAGGGCAGGCTCTGTTCAGAGCAGAATGTTTTGATCTGTTTCCAAAATGCTTCTCGCCCATGTCCTCCCCCTGCTGGAAGCGTGAGGAAGTTTTCCCTGTAGTAAAAGTGAGAAGGCAGTCCAGCTCCTGAAGCTAAACCGCGTGCAGTCTGGACACCCCATGACTTGGTCCCCCTGGAGTTTCTGACTCTGAGTTGTCTACACTGAGCCTCCCCCCGTTCAGGTTTTCCTGCCCCGCTGCTGTTCCTGCCGAGGTGGCTCTGGGGGATTTGGGCTCCAGTAAGTTGTGGTGCTTTGTGTTTGCCTGCCTGCCTGTCCGCCTGTCTGCCTGTCCAGCTGGCCTTGTGACCTCACTTCACTGATGGAACTAAAAAGAGTTGCTGGTTTTTCTTTTCTTTCCTTGTTTGAATGATGACGTCTAAGATCCTCATCTGCTAGACCAGAAATGGGAGCAGTTGGTATTTGCCCCTTTCATGTCTTATACCAAGGACAGCTGAGAAATATGGACAAAGCACGGGCTTCCTTTAAAATCCAACTGGAAGTCTGAAAGGAGCCTTAGAAATCCTACCGTGGCATTCCTTGCTCAGTAACGTCCCAGCATTGCAGTAGAGCAATGGAATGGACTGTGAACATGGGACCCCTTTGGCTCTAGAATCCAAATCAGCTTTTTTTCAAAGAACAGAGTTAAGTTCTTCTAGAGCCAAAGTTGTGCTCCCCCAGAGGAAATGTAGTTTTTTAAAAATAGATTTCTTTCTTAAAAAAAAGGTTGATTTGGGGGCCGGTGCTATGGCGCAATGGGTTAATCCTCTGGGTACCGGTTCTGGTCCCAGCTGCTCCTCTTCTAATCCAGCTCTCTGCTATGGCCTGGGAAAGCATGGAAGATGGCCCAAATCCTTGGGCGCCTGCACCTGTGTGGGAGACCCAGAAGAAGCTCCTGGCTCTTGGCTTTGGATCGGAGCAGCTCTGGCCATTGTGGCCATTTGGGGAGTGGACCAATGGAAAGAAGATCTTTATCTCTGTCTCTTCCTCTCACTGTCTGTAACTGTACCTCTCAAATAAATAAATAAAACCTTTAAAAAGATCTTTAAAAAGGGGGGGGTATTTTATTTGAGAGGCAAAATTATAGAGAGAAGAGACAGAGCTTCACTCCCCAAATGTCTGTAATAGCCAGAGAAGTGCCAGACTAAAGCCAGGGACCCAGAACTCCATCTGGGTCTCCCACATGGGTGGCAGAGGCCCACATGATTGGGCCATCGTCTGCTGCTTTCCCAGGTGCATTAGCAGGGAGCAGCTGAGACTCCAACTGGCAATCCTATATGGCATTCTGACACGGCAGGAGATAGCTTAACCCACTGTGCCAGAACACCATCCACCAAGAGAAAATTTAAATCCGATACTTACTTATTTTGTCTTAGTTAATATATGTCAAAGGAAGTAACTAGAAACAGTGATTATCTCTGGAAGGTGATTTGAGGGTGGTTTTAGTTCTGTGTGAAGGATGATGGATGATTTTTATTTTTCTATTTTTTTCTCTGCATTTTCCACATTATAGCAGACAAGCATATACTATTTTTACAACCAGAAAAAAATAGAGTGAGGGGTGTGTGTGTTGAATTTCCTAGGCTGTGAACATTTGGATATTTGTCTCCATGTCTCTTTACAGTCTGCAAAATGAATGTTCACCGTCGATGTGAGACCAACGTGGCTCCCAACTGCGGAGTAGATGCCAGAGGAATCGCCAAAGTGCTGGCCGACCTGGGGGTCACTCCGGACAAAATCACCAACAGTGGCCAGAGGAGGAAAAAGGTGACTGCCTTTGGGTGGCGTCCTGGAGCTCTGCAGTGAGGTTATACGATGCCTGGGTTTGAGGCATTTTACTGAAAACAGTGAAAGACCACCACAAAACACAGCAAACACTGGAGTAAGGGAGAGGGTTGATTGTCGGGTGGGGGAAACCCAACAGGCCGCCTCCCCATGCCCGAGAGAACAGCAGCCTGTGCTGGGAATACAGGTCTTACGTAGCTATGCAGAGGGAAGGATGTGGGAACAGCGAATCCTGTTAGGGTGGGGGTGGAGCTGACGCTTGTGGTTGGGCCACTTGGTCACCTGACTTCTAGTAAGCCAGGCTGGGTTTAGTATTGAAGCTTATTGTACAAGATGGCGGCAGGGCCAGAGCCCAAGATGGTGCCCAGGGCTTAAGATGGTGCCTCAGATAAGATGGTACCATTTCACTAACAGACAGAATGTGACTAAAGGAAAAAAAAAGAGGCCGAGCAGGTAACACTGAAGCCTCCTTCGTCTCCAAAGGTGGGGGTGACAAAGCAAACCTCCAGTGTGGTGTTTCTCAGAGAAACTGAAGCTCCAAAGAGGACTTTGGAATTCCTTCTAGAATCATCTTAACGTTAGACAAGGAAATGGGCTTATCTGCTCGGGAGCTGGCATGAAAGCAATGCCAGTGGCTAAACCTCACCGCAGCATCATTGTAATGAGAACAAATGGATGAAGAGCCGGAATCACGTTCTTTTCTAGGGAGGGAGTCAAGAAGATTTGTGATGGCGCCAGCACTGAGCTGCCCGGGGGGACGGTTGACGTCCCACAGCATGAAGCACCCAGGGCTTTCTGTGGGGACCAAGCCCTGTCTCTACCCGGGGGACATTCTGAGTGCTGGTAGCCAGAGATCCACTGGCTAACATGTGACTTTGGTTTGCCAGGGCCCACACATGTAGATAGAACTGGAGGCACTCACAGCCTTTTGTTTGAGGGCTCTTGTTTAGCCTTACTCCAAGACTTAAGGGGACTTTAACAAGTTAAGTTATGAAAAAATCAGAACCATGTTAACTGGGCAGGGAATCCTGGTGAGGGGTGGGTGGGAGTGGTCTTCGTCGAGCAGCGTCAGGTGTTCCGGTGCTCTGTGTTGGAAAGCAAGCCGGACTCTTGGGGCCTCTACAGCCTCGACTCCTACACTTGGCCCCGAAGAGGCCTGTGTGTCTTAGACCCTACCCACGCCTTTTTCCTGGAACCTCATGGAAGAGTCTTCTCCCCTGGATTGGGAAGGGTTGGATTGTGTTCATCCCCTTCTTGTCCCTGTTCCCATAAATAAATCTGCTTCATGAGGGTTGCAGATACACCTCTGTCCTCCCTGGTTTAGGTATCTCTGAAATTTGGAGATTTGGGTGGCTTGTCTCAGTTCAGTCCCACTGGTGGGGATCAGACTTAAGTTGTTGACCCAAGGCATTGAACTTGCAGAGTGTCAGTACGCGAGGGCCCCACGGGAGAGGCAAGCTGAGCAAACACTCAGAGGATGACGCTGGACACCTGTGTGAGTTCCAGAGAGCCTTGGCAGGAGGCTTTTTTTTTTTTTTGCTTGCTAGAAATACATTAAGACAGAAACATTCATGGTCATGGAACACTGAACAGAGAACTCCATCTCTGCCCTCTTTGCCATGTTTGCAGGGACTCTGAAACTAGCAGTGAGAACTAGTAGTTGAACTTCATCTGCCCAGCTTGCGTTTGAGGCTTCCAGCAACAGAAGCCCACAAGGAGCTATTCAGGCAGGAGCAGGGTAAAGGCTAAGGGACTCTAGGCTTGCTATTTGTATTGCTGTGCTGCTTCAGGCACAAAAGCTGGTAAAATTTCCAAGTGAATAGGAGAGGACAGGAGACAAGGGCGCTGGGTCAGAAGCTGAAAGGTCTTCTTGCAGCAGCACCAGATTCGCTGCCACTTTGGTTCCCCTCCTGTGACCCCTTGAACAGGCTTTGCTGGGTGTGTTCCATTCAAATTTGCCAACAGATACCAACTTATTGAGCATCTATTTATGCATATTACTTTGTGCAAATCACTTTGGTGCAACAGAAGTACTAGATAGAAGTCTTATCTTCAGCAAACATGTAGTCCACTTAAGTAGAGAGCCCCACACAATATACACATGCAGATATTATCAACTGAATAAGATAATGAATAAACGCCCAAGAGCCATTGGGTGCAGTGTCATATTGGGATGAGATAAGTGCAGTGTTTGGATAAGCAGAGGGTGGCTTTGTGCAAGAGCTGGGGCTGAGCTGTGCTTGCAAAGGTCATTTGAATTTGGATGGAACGAAAATCGAACAAACCGAAGTCTCCTGGTTTTCTCCCCTTGAATCGGCGAACAAAACCCTGAGCCTGTGCTTTCAGAGTGCACGAGGACTCGTGCAGCTCTCGGGATACTGTCCTCATGCTTGTGACTTCAGGGGCACTCACAACCATCACTTTTCCCTCTCCTCCTCTCTAGCTCATCGCTGGTGCCGAGTCCCCACAGCCCACGTCTGGAAGCTCACCGTCCGAGGAAGATCGGTCCAAGTCAGCACCCACCTCCCCCTGTGACCAGGGTGAGACCCACAGATTTGCTTCCTTACCTCTGGGCTCTGTCCCTGGAAGGACCACAGCGCATGAGGCCTCTCTGCCTAGGAATGACCTCGGGGGCTGAAACAGCCAGCGGCACCAGGAGACCTTCCCACCCCCTTATCCCTGTTGCTGTAGTAGTGGTTCTTGCCTTCTACAAGGCTTTCCTGAAGATTGGGCTCTCCCTGGCAGTGCCGGCTTGGAATTCCTTCCAGACCAGGCTCAGAGAGAGCATGTGTGTGATGCCGTTGTGGCTCTTTGTGTTGCCTTGCCTCTTGCCCTGGCTGCAGGTAGAGAGAGGGGCATAGACGGCTCCTTCTCTTCTTACGCCATGCCGGCGTCTGGCCCTCAGCCTGCTCACTTGAGTGCATCACCCTCCCCCTTGATTCCACTCATCATACTCAAAACCCAACCAGGTTGACTTGAGGGATAGGTGGCAGAGGGTATCTCCTCTGGACCTTTGGTGGGTGAGAATAAAAAGGTAAGCAGGAGGAGAGCCTGAGAAAGGAGTGGGTAGGAGCCAGCAGCATTAGGCCCGACTCCCCTCCATGGCTCACCAACGTCTCCTAGATATGCCCAAGACTATAAGTTCTGCAGGCATACTTTTGGTCATTGGCATCGTGGTTCTGCAGGCATCTTGCAGTGCTGAGGCTAGAGGAATGATACACAGATGTCAGAGCTCCCCTCTGGTGACTGGGACAAACCTCCCTGGGGAGGGGACACTCTCTTCTGTGGCTCAGGGGTGCCTGTCACAGCATAGCAGTAGCCCCCGGATTTTCTGTAGCCCTTCTGTATTCGGGATCCCAGTTTTATGCTCACACTGAATCTCTGTTGCTGCTCCATTTACTGTCCCCAGGTTACAGGGTGGGAAGTCGAAGGTCCAAGAACTGCAAGGGTTTGTCCCAAGGTCAAGAGCTAAATCAGTGGTAAGAGGGGGCCTGTGATGCCCCCCACAGCTGAGAGTCCCACTCCTAGGATCTATTCTTAGAACCCTCCCTGGAGGCCGTGGCTTGTGGCTCAGCCCTTCTTACCCGGGACTAGGTAGCACAGCCTCAGGGGCCCTGTGCCAACCCTGAGGCCACTCAACAGTTGGTCTCAGTTCCTCATGCTGCTCTGCCTCCCTTCTGGGTGTCTTTGCACAAACTCTACTTAGTTCCATGCAAGACTTTACCCATTTGAAAGTACCTGATGGTGCACTGGAACCTCCAAACTGGTAGATGTCATCTCGGTCCTGTCTAGGCACATTCATATTTCCCATTTCAATGCCGAGACCTCCAGGAGACAAATAAGGAGACCCCAGGTGATCAAGAGGTGACCAGGGTTTTTAGGCCTGACTCCGGCTCACTGTGCTATGTGGCCTGGGCAGGATACCGTGCCGTCCCCGCCCTCCCCCTCCCCCCCAGTCAGTGTGGCACCAGTATCTCCCAGAGTGGCGTGAGCACTCCTGCCAAGGAAATCCCTCTTGGCAAGAATGAAGAGCCAACAATAAAGCATTGTAACAAAAAGAATTAAGACAGAGTTTGTCTCTCTTCCATCGGAAGAACACCTAGTCATTTTCTTCCAACTTTGATGTTCCCAGACACCTAAGTTCTGCCTGCTAAAACCCATTTCCTGACTGAGATTTTAGCTCTATGGTGAGACTGAAGTTTTACTTAGTTAAGAGTGATGTCAGCTGCTGAGTCAGCATGGGGTGTATCCGTAGACTCAGAAGCTGTCCCCACCTCTCTGTCCCCCCACTGCCCTGGCACATCTCCGAGGAGCCAAATGCCAGGCCTAGAAAGATGGCCAGATTTCTTGAGTGAACTCCCATGGGCCCCCGCCCTTCTCAGAAGCGGCTGAAGTCTTTCTGTCAAGTGGCACGTGGTCCTGCATGCTTGATTCTGTTCCCAGGGGTTAATAGTCTGTGTTCTCCTTCTGTAATCCCAGTCACTCACGAGCATCTTTAACGTGGGATTGCGCTCCTGGTGCCCATTTCTACACAGAAGGGTGCCTGTCTTGGTGAATGAATAGCCAACAAGGAAGCTTCCTCAAACAGACGCGGTCAAGGCTTGTCCAGCATTATCACTCCCAAGTCGCACATTCTGGAGAGACACAAAACTGTCTCAAAATTATGAAACTGTCCCAAGGAATTCCTGCGCCATCAGAGATAAATTTGCAGTGTGTTACTCTGGGAAACGATTCTTTCGTTAATGATGAACCCATTGCTCATTTTGTTAGATAGTCTTGTGTGGGATGGCCGAGTAGAGATCTACAGAAGGCCTAGCTGTTGCAATAACTGTATCACCAGTGATTACTGTGGTGTCAGTCACTGCTCAGTTGTTGTTCTTCAAAAGACATTTGAAAGGGACCTGTTGCCTTTGTGACTGTGCAGGTTTCCAGAGAAGGGCCGGATTCTCTACGATACCTCGAGTGATGAAATAGCTACCAGGCAAAGGGAGCTTGCAACAAGATGGCCAGGTTCAGTATGAGCAGGAGGAGTTCGTAAGGGCAGAGCCTGAGTGTGTCCTCCTTTGCGAAACGTGGCCCTGCTGTACACCCAGTGCCGATGCAAGCGTGTCGAACAAAGGAAGCAATGCATGAAGGATGCCTCCTTGGGTCTGTAGCTACGAAGACCTGGAAAATGGGTGCAGAGCTCCTGGGGCAAATGCTGGGTACCGAGGCCTAATGACAATGGCTCGTGGGTGTGCACTAATGCAATGTCCTGTTTCCCTTGGCCCTAGAATTAAAAGAACTTGAAAACAACATCCGGAAGGCCTTGTCATTTGACAACCGAGGGGAGGAACACCGGGCAGCATCATCCACCGACGGCCAGCTGGGGAGCCCCGAGAACGGTGAAGTGCGGCAAGGCCAGGCCAAGCGCTTGGGTCTGGATGAGTTCAACTTCATCAAGGTTTTGGGCAAAGGCAGCTTTGGCAAGGTCTGTGGCACACAGGGGTGGATCTTTTTGACTTTCTTACACCCTTGGCATGGTCTCATCTGTTTGATCTGAGATTCAGTGAGGGACATTTCATCCTGGTCTGGCTACATTCGCCTTTCTTGGTGAGTGGCAATGGGCCAAGGCCACACAGATGGGAGCCCTGCTTGTGCTGTTCAAATTGGCGACGGATCCCAAGGTAGTCATTTAACCTCTTTGGGATTCGCTTTTGGCAGATGGGTTCGGGAACCGAGTGCAGTGGTGAGAAAGTGCTAACCGGCTTGAAGTGCCCATGATCAGTGATGGTATCAGCACGATTCTTTCCTCCTCCAGAGTTCTGTCTGCGGTTTTTTGTTTAGTTCATTATGAAGACTTTGCCAATGAACTCCAGAATCTCTGCCCTCAACAAGCTTAAGGCTCAAAGCAAATCTCAGCAAATTTTCCTTTGGAAACCCAATGTTATTGAACTGGTTTTTCTGGCACCTACGAAATGTTATGTCTGTCCTCTACATGGGGCAGAATGAGAACAGGCAGCTTATGTTTGGGGTCAGGGTCCCATGCCCCAGGGCCATTTTTCCGTGCCCTGCTTCCCACTGAGACAAGCCTGGTGGTGTGAGGGTTGCCTTCCTCTGGGTCAGGGAAGCTTTCATGCTGATCAGCCAATGGATGCTGGCTGGGCAGACTGGAAAAATAATCCCAGTTCCTTTCAGAAAGAAGGTGGAGGGGGCGCAGAGGCCAAGAAGCTGGTTAGCATTGCAGCCAAGAGTCCACATTTGTGGCTGGCTCTTCTCCAAGCTGTGCCTGGGAAGCCACAGGGATTGCTTTTCTGGGAACTTTGGAGCGAGGAAGCCCTGCTCTAGGGACCAGGCAGCTCCTGGGAGCCCCATGCCTTTGCATGTTCTAGACTCTAGACAGAAGCCAACCTGCAGGGCTGTTGGCTGGCTGAGCTTCCGGCCCACTCCACCCAGCCCCTCACCTACCCTTATCTCAGCCTGGGATCACCGGAGTTTCTGGAAGTGGCAAGAGCTGAAGCAACCACATTCTTTGGAGACTGGCTAAATAAGAAACAGAACCCCGTTCTCGGGCATGGCGTGACGTTGGGATGCGAGCAGAACTCGGTTTATTTTGAGCAAGATTCAAGGGAAACGAGCAGACTCAGAGTTTCCAGGTTTCCATGCCGTGTAGACAGGAGGGCAGCCGGGATGACTTCAGAGCACTTAGCAGTGTCTTAGGGAAGGTCACAGCCATCGGTCGAGCCAGTTTTCAAGTCTCTGTTAGGTGTGGGTGGTGAGACGTCTTCAGGCTGACATCAAAAATCCCCTTATTATGTTTTTGAGTTGCTCTTTTTTAGCTCTGACAACTTACCTTGGGATGCTGTACTTAGGAGTTAGTTATTTAAAAAGAGAAAAAAGGCTCCTGCATTTGTAGGTTATTCCATAGGAAAGTATCAATGGCTAGGAAAGCTTTAAGAAAATGGAAATGTTAATTGGCTCACTGGAGAAAGAGTCCCATTGTAGCTGTGAAGCTATGGAAGCAATGACAAATGTCTCTGCATCAGAACCAGTGATTCTGCTCTGTGGAAAGCAAAAGCGGAAAATTGTAAAACAGACTTAGAAAAACCTTTGCAGAAAGTGGAGGGTTAATATGTTTGTACAGTACATTTGGACAGCCTTGTAAGAATGTTATAACACTGCTGGTCTCTAGACAAAGGAGACAAATAATCCACCCAGAAAGAAATACAATTAGAAAGCAAACACTTTAAAAGTGTCACGGCAAGTTATAACCGCATCGAGATAGCACTGTATACCTTGTAAATGAGCAAAAGCATTTTTAAGTGAAGGCATCCAATGTTGATAGATCAGCACGAAACTAACACGCTGCCATGTTGCTGGTGGTACATTGTATTTCTCCTCCTTTTGGAAAATTGGTTAGGAAATGTGCAGAATATTTAACCCTTCAATTTACTTCTGGGAATTTCTATTTTAAGGATGTAACACAACAGAAGTTCAAAATTTTCTGTACAAAAATACCTAAGGCAATTTATTTATGAATATGTGGTAAGTGGGTAACATGAAGGAAATGACTAAATAAGTCGTGTGGTATTTACTTATTGAGTGTCAGCAGCCATGATAGAGAAACGCTTATAAAATACTAGTTCTGTTAAATCCTATCCTGTAAAAGTATATGAGCATGTGGGTAATCATTTAACAAACGTGCAAAGCTGTACCAGACAGTGGAAGGAAATATGTTAGAGTGGACAGTTTTCCTAAACAGTTTTTAATCAGTTATAATATTTAAAATGAAAGGGATTCATTTTTTAGAAAGCATGTATGCGGTATCATTCGCGTTGCTTCTTTTGGTCCTTTCGTGCCGGGATTGATGGTGCTGTTGTGGTTGGCCGCAGGTCATGCTGGCCGAGCTCAAGGGCAAAGATGAAGTGTATGCCGTGAAGGTCTTAAAGAAGGACGTCATCCTCCAGGACGACGACGTGGACTGCACCATGACGGAGAAGAGGATCTTGGCTCTGGCGCGGAAGCACCCGTACCTAACCCAACTCTACTGCTGCTTTCAGACCAAGGTGCGTCTAGATAGAAGCTGGTGATCACCAGCCCGGAGCAGCTCCGTAGGAAGGGCAGTACGGTCTCCTGAGTGTCTTAAGTTTCGGTTTCAGAGCCTCTCCATTGCCTCTCCACACTCGGTGAAGTGGAATGGATTTTCTGCTTGAAAAGACCAGAGGGGATGTGAGGAGCATCCTCTTTTTTTTCAGGGCATGGGATTTTTCCATTGGAGGTTGTGCTTGTGAAGGGAGGAGAAGAGCCGTAGAACTGTGCAAATAGAGCTGGACAAAGCCAAGTAGCTCAACCCAGGGTGTGCCCTTGGAAAAACCAAGAGATGTGGTTAATCCATGTGCTTCTCCTAAGTTTCTGTCCCTTCTCAAATCACTTACCTGCTAAGTTGCTTTCAGGTCACATGAAAAAAGAGGAAAGGCCACCCTAATCGTTTCTAGCTTTGGTTAACGTCAGAGAAGGTACGGGATGTAAACAAATGCTTAAAATTCCACAGTGCAAGACAAACAGGAGCTTGGTGGGGTTTTGATTTTTTTTTTTTTTTTCCAATGTGCCATGTCACTGCCTGGGGACCAGAAGATGGCAGTAAAGAAGCGAAGATCATCTGGGGAAGCTGTGCCCCGACCTCTGAGTATCACAACTCATTTGTTGCTTATTCTTAGGACAGAAAGGAAATGCCACCCAGCATTCTTCATGAAGCTCTTGTTTTATTAGCCTTTTTGGGGGGAAGGAGAAAAGGTCTCTTAGGCTACATCTGGATTTGTAGCGTTGGCTTCTTGAGAAAGCAGAGATGACGTCACCTGTGCCTCCTGCCCACCCCCATCCGGAGCCCCGGGCAGAGCTGGGGCGTCCTGGAAGGCAAGTGCATGCCCTCTGGCAAACTCCTGCCTCTGTCCGGCTGAATCCTGCTTAGATTCCCACGGTTACCCATTTGGTCGTCCAGCAAGTGTTCATGTTCCTGTCTGATACTGGCCTCTTTCTGTGTGCCTGGTGCTGTATCGGGTGCCGGCGCTGTGTGGTGAGCAAGCCCTCGGAGAGTTTGCGGCTCTTTGGTGCACCATTGCTCAGAGGGTATTTCTCAGAACCCTAATCCCTGGAGCAGCTGGGAGCACCGGGCATTCTGTGGCCCGTGGTTTGAGACACTGCAGTCTTGACCTCTGTCACAGAATTTCAACACACATCTGTTTACTGGCATCCCTGAAGAGAACTGCAGTGGAAAAAAAAAAAAAAGATAATCTTTGTTTAATCTACTATTTCCCAACACATTTTATCTCGAGACCCCACCACCACAAACACAACACCTACTCCACACGGAGAAACACGGAAAGATTTTTTTCCAGCCCTCTGCTCGCACAGGGGAATCAGCAGTATCTTCTGCAAACTCTTGAAATCTTTCTGCTTAACCTTCAAGGACACTTCGATTTTATTGTCTGTGAAACTTTCCTCTGAGACTCTTGTTTAATGAGACCTATCCGTTTTCTGAACAAGCACAGGGCTTATTAACCATCCTCATTTTGGATGCGTGTTGTGTAATACCTAGTATTTATGAGGAGCAGCCTGTGTGTATCTGTGTACATAGGCAGAGTCCAGCACACAGTCCAGGCTGGCGATGAGGTGAGCTTTCTTCTCCTCTCCATGACAGCACAACCCTAGATGAAGGAGAGAGATGTTGTGTCTGACTTTTCACTATATTCCTGGAATTATTCCAGGTGTCTTGGCCCAGGGCCTCCTACCTCGTGGGTCTCACTATCAGAATCAAAGGTCTTTTTAAGATTTATTTATTTATTTATTTGAGAGGTGGAGTTACAGACAGGTCTTCCATGTGCTGGTTCATTCCCCAAATGGCTACCATGGCAAGAGCTGGGTCAATCCAAAGCCAAGAGCTTCTTCCAGGTCTCCCACATGGGTGCAGAGGCCCAAGCACTTGGGCCGTCTTCCACCGCTTCCCCAAGCCATAAGCAGACAGCTGGAGGAGAAGAGGGGCGGCAGGGACACAAACTGGCACCCATATAGGATGCCGGCTCTGCAGTGGGAGGCACCACCTACTGCACCACGTGCCGGCTCCTGTAAGATTGTTTGTAACCACCCTTGTGCTTTTCTTTTCTCACCAGTGGCAAAAACTGGGTTTAAGAGAAGTCAAAAAGCCCTTTGCCTACAGACACTCCGTATGGACAGAGCCAGGCCTGGCATCTCACCTGGTTCCTGGGGTTCCCAGCCTAGTGGGGCCTTGCTCGCCTGATGCCACACTGTTGCTCTGTGGTGTCTGGCCCAGAACAGCGTCCCCTTGGTGAGGCATCCCCACCCCCCACTTCCGCTCTCACTGTCGGGTAGCTTCTGAGGCAGGGAGACACTCTGGCATTCTCTCTGTGTACATGCTGTCAAGAGGGCTGGCACCCGAGGGGCATCCAGTGTGGTTCTGAGGGCCCTGTGGAGCCTCTGAAATGTGCATGTGGGGCGGTCTCAGTTGGAGCTCGGCTTGGGGAATGGGTGAAGGGGGAGAATGAATGGCCTCCGTGTGATCTCCCCGAGGCTCAGCTTCCTCCTTGTACAGCAGCTTTGGGTGCACCAAACGCTGATGAGGGGCACCGTGAGTTTCTTTTAGGACAGAGCCAAGAAGGTTCTTGGAGTCTGGGTTCCTGGAGGGTGAGGGTGGGGAGAGAAGGGACTTCCTTGGCAGCTCACCGATTTATTAACACTTTGTCCCAGGCAGTATCAGGAGTGGCCTTGTACCACCTTGTCGGTGGCACCACTGTTTGGTGGAACACCTTGCTTTACGCAACAGATGTGTTTTCATCTAAGCTTTCTGAAACAAATATTTTAATCTCCCTGAAGGACATTGACTTACTAATAAAAAGAACCTTATGAGGAATTATCCTATAAATCCCCAACTTAGCTTTTCAAAAACATGTGACCTTTCCTAGGATAACCAGTAGTCATGGTTTTAAAGAGATGGGTGCAAGGTGTGACGTTATTAGCAAAAAGGAAGATGATTGTCAAGTGGAAGGGTTTATGAGTGAGGAGTTGGGAGATTTTCCAACTTCCACAAGCTAGCAGAGAATAGAAAACAGTGCTGATTAGTTTTAACCAGAGTGGGGGTATTCAGACTTGAGGACCCAGAGGAAGCTGCTTTTTAGGGGCTAGTAGAGGAAAGGAGCTGAAGTCGGGCTTGGAAGCAGAAGCAGGGTTTGGACAGCACTCGGAGAAAAATGGGAGCCAGGAGGTTTGGTCGCCATCGTTCAGTCTTGCTTGAGTTTCACTTTCCTGAAAATGCAGTTCCTCCGAGCCACCCTGAACTCATTTTGACTGCGTGATTAGGAATGCAAAGACCTGACTGCAATCCTATTAAGATTTATTTCATGCTCATTTAATTATGACACACAGAGTGGCAAGAATGTTAAGACAAGTTTAATTATTTCCAGGTAAGCCTTATTTTTCCATGCATAGGGATACATAGTGCTATTGGAAACATTCTTGGATAACTTCCTGTTCTGTGGCACCCAGCTTTAGGCTGCACATCACCTGTGGGTTGCCCAGCAGGAGGCAGAAGTGTGTGTAGTGAGGGAATTATATCTAACATGGGGACCGATGGCAACCATTGTGCAAACCCATTGCATCAGTCATGATGGCATAGTCATCTGCTCACTGCAGCCCATGAAATGAGCAGGTTACAGGCAAAGAGTGATTTGGGCTTTTCTCAACAAGCTTTACTTGCTCTTTGATCATTCTCCATGCAATCTGAAAAGAAGAGAAAGCAAATGAAATGACTGTAGCTGACCTGCACTCCCTAGGCCAACAGGTTAAAGCAATGACTTATAAACCTCAATGAAAGTCAGCCACTGTGTTTGACTTGTGTTCCCAGCATGCTGTGTACTCTTTGGGATGCTCATGTTATCTAAACTAAGAAGGAAATCTGAAAACTGTTAAATTGTCAACATGTAAGGTTTGGAAAGGACAGTAAGGGATTTGCAGTTCCAGCCATGATGGAGTGGCCTTAATCCTCACAATTATAAAACCATGGACATAATTCTAATTTTTTAAAGATAATATACCCATCTAAGTTGACACAGCCATAAAGAATGTACTTACTTTTTAAAAGTTTTATTTATTTATTGGAAAGGTAGAATAAGGGGTAGGGGTGATAGAGACAGAGAGACAGACAGCACTTCCTTCTGCTGGTTCATTCCCCAAATGGTTGCAACAGCCAGGGCTGAGTCAGGCTGAAGCCCTAAACCCAGAACTCATCCGGATCTCCCACATGGGTGGCAGGGGCCAAAACACTTGGACCATTGTCTGCTGCCCTATCAGGCACACCAGTAGGGGGCTGGATCAGAAGAGGGACCAGCCGTGACCCAAACTGGCACTCCTACATGGGGTGCTGGCATCACACGTGGTGACCCAACCTGCTGCACCTCAATGCTAGTCACAGAATCCTCTTTTGATATGGATGAGAAATGAAAATTTTAACATCTAGAACTGCCAAATTATTTTTTAAATATTTATTTTTATTTAATTTAAAGACATGGTGAGAGAGAGAGCTAGAGCTAGAGAGAGAGAGAGAGAGAGAGAACCATCTTCTATCTGCTAGTTTACTCCCCAAAGGCCTGCATAGGCCCAGACTGGGCCAAGCTGAAGCAGGGGCCCAGAACTCCATCCATGTCTCCCATGTGGGTAACAAGGACCCAGGTTCTTGAGCTATCATCTGCTGTCACCTCCAGGGTAACATTGGCAGAATCTGGATTGGAAACAGAAGTGGGACTCAATCCCAGGCCCTCTAATATGGCATATGGGTACCCCAAGCAATCATTTAACCTGCTGAGCTACAGTGCCTACCCCCACGTGACTTTCAAATATATTGCTTTAAGTTACTCTCAGTAGCACTTAATCTGTTCTCATAAACATGAGGACAAAAATCTATATTTTCTCATACACAAAGAATTCTTTTTTGCTTAAGAGAAAAATTTGGGGCCTGTAATTATTGCAATGGATACATGTGCTTATTAGTCATCTACTA